GTAGCGTTCTACGTGATCCTAGGTGAATTGGTTCGAGCTAACTCTGATGATCATACTCTAGGTATTCAAGTCGAACATTATCTCCATGGTTACTTTCAGCCATGAGTCGTGGATCATGACTAAAAAGCTTCGAACCCGGGTATAAGCTGCTGATATGGGCTTTCTTAGATGAGTCGCTGGCCTTACGTCTCTCGACATGGTCCGTAATACTGGTATCCAGGAGAGCTTTGGTGTACAACCTTTACTTCTCCAAACTGAAAAGTCACAGCTATGATGGTTTGAGTACGTGTTGCGAGTGCCCAAAGAAAGGAAAGCCGACCATTAAAAGACCACAGGGGACGGTCAAGATTAACCTGGTGCCAATATATGGCCGCAGTTTGGTCTAGACTCCGGTTATTTTCAGCCGAAGCTCAGACTCTGGCACAAGATCAGAAGCGTCGAAAGCTCTGTCTCACGTATCTGCCTATGCGACCCGAGAGGAGAAGCGCTTTTAGAAGATGAGCATGATGTTCATGATATGAGCAAACAGATTGAATTCTCATAAATGATTATGCATCTACAAAATCTTCAAGTTGGAGATTTATCTCTATTGGTTCTTCGGTAATTGCAGTACCGTTTGGTTGTTCTCCATCCAGAGCGGTCGGGTATCGCCTTCTCTCCGTTACGTGACCCGGTTGAGCGACGCCTGTGCGATGAGTAATGTACATCAACAGAACCGAATTTTAAACACCAAGGAATCTGACGTCCTGCCGATTAACTTGAAATGAAATAACTAGCAAAATGCAGATACACATCACCAGCTGGTATATACGGCAAGTTGCATGACGTCAACCGTACAGCTGAGCGGCTTCACCTCGATTTTCATGGGATTTCAGAAACTCTTATTCCCGATTAAGGAGAAGATCTCCTGGGAAACGGATGGCAGTTTCAATGGTATCAGAACGAGGATTCAGACGCGAGTCAGAAGTGGCAGTGTTGCTATCGCCACAAGTAATGAAAGCCTTGGTCTCCGTCGAGCACACGGCTGACCGGATGCTTGTTTGTCGTCTTGCAACAGTGCACGTAAAGGTCAAATTTGTGGTTGTTTACGCCGACACCAATGTCGCGGACAGTCCAAGGAAGGACGAGTTCAGTACGTGTTTGCATCTAGTCCTCGGTTCTCTTCTATATCATCAGTTATCGATCGTCGCCGGTAACATGAACGCGCAGGTCGACGGGGGACAATTCAAAATGACATTATATGATGGTTCAACATGCCTGCTGGACACTAAATGACTACTGTCGGCGGCACGCTGTCTCCTCACTGTCAAATCGATCAGTTGCCATGGACTCCGCCAAGTGATCGTTTCAGGAGCCAGCTGGTCCACATATTGGTCAGCAGTAACAGGCGAAGCGTCCTTCAGACACCCGAACACGACACGGAGCTGACATTGGCTTGGACCATTTTATGCTGGTCGCAAAGCTCTGCTTCCAACTGGCTCTGTTCCGGAGACTGCCACGGAAAAGGGTACACGGCAGATTCGACACCAGTAAGTCAAAAGGTCTATA